GGGGGGGGGGGGGGTAAATGGGTTGGGGGGGGGGGGGCATTTTGCAAGGGAGGGCTTGAAAACGGCCGCACACACGAAGGCCTGCATGAGGAAAGAGACAACACCTACACTTTGGCTGTGGACGTCAACGGGTCGACGCCAGTTGTGATAACACTATGGAGGTGTGTGACGCACCCGACCACTGTTGTAGCAGTTGGGTGTCGAACGTGGGTACTCTCTTCATCGTACTTGCACTTATCTTGATTAGCAAGCTCACCCGACTGACCAAGCAGATGCCCGGGCTACCTCAGCAACAAATTTCAACTGGAACGTCTACACATCAAGCATCTACGCGAGGATCTTGGGCTATTCGAATGCGTATGATATGCATGCGTGGATACGACAACAGATTTACCCGCCCAAGGAGGATATCCAAATCCCGGCACACAGGATTAAGATTTCAACACAAATGAGGTGAGGATGGCACGAGTGAACAGTTCGAAACAGACAAACACATGAACTACAACCTGGTAGGCCGGCTAGGCACCCAGAACACCCATCAATGCCCATCCATCCCTCCGCTGGATGTCGGCATAAATACTGTTCCACCGCGCTCTCTGTAGATGTGCGTACCTGATGCGGTTTATATCCGTCTTGGATCCCGTCGTGAGGAGTACCGTTACCCGTGCCCCCCGCGTCCTCCCGCCTCTCTTTGTCACGCCCGCCCTCCCACCCCATTGGCCAGTTGCTCGAAGCCATCGTCGCACCAATGTCACCATCGTCCGCTGGGCTCGGGGGGTTGGTCAGATCCCCCTCGCTGCATGCCAAGCGTTCACCACCGCCTCCGCCGCAGCTGCTACTGCACCGGCGGCTGTTGCTCATGGAGACGCGGGATCGCTTGCGGTTACCGGCCAACTTAATGCCGTCGCCGTCGACGTCGCTGCGCGTGCTGCTGTTCGTCTTTGGCAGCGCCGGTGCTGCTGCTGCCGGGGGGGGCGAGCACGCGAGCTCCGTAACGAGCTGGTTGAGAACAACCACACCTTTGCTGAAGCCCACCAGCGTGAGGGGGAGGGAAATGTCGGGCCTGCGAGAGGTGGTGTCGCCGCATCTGTCGTCCTCTTGATGCACCGCGTCTGCGGCGGCGCCGAGAAGGGCCTCAAGGTGCTCACACGCCGAACCGTCTGGGAGGTCTGGCGTCGAAAGACAGAGGCGCCAAAGGAACAACAACACCCGACATAAGGTCGGACAGCAGTATAATAGCAATTCCGAAGCTAAATTTGGATAAGTTTGAACGTGGATGCACCGTGCCAAAAAACCCGAAAAAATTGTTCCCGCTGAAGTAGATGAAGAGTCAAATACACACCGACAGCTGCGGAAAAGTGTGTACGGGTGGGCATCGGCATCGAGCTCCGGGCCCCACCTTGCAGCGACAAAAACAACAGTCAGAGGTACCACGCGGACACGCGTGTGCCACGCACCTGCTACTACATGACCTGCACCCAGGTGGAGCAAGGGCAAGGAGCAAGGGCAAGTACCGGCAGTCTACCGTTAACACAGCAGCAGTACTGTACCCTAAAAAAACTTACACTCGAGGACAGCGCCACCCGTAGCCCAGTCCGTTTTCGCAAAGTTATCGTAGGACGCCAGGGCGCTGTGCACGTGGGTCTTTGGCAACACCACCCACACCGCGTGCCCGGGAAACCTTCGTGCCAACGTCCGGGCTGTGCTCTCCACACAGTAGTCCGAAAATTCCTCGTGACCTACGGATATCCTGCCGTCAACGAGCATGAACAGCATGGCGAAGGGCATAAAGACAGACAGACAGGCATGCGTCGGTATGCTACAACAATCAATGAAGACACTCGGCCAGTCAGCACGTGGGGAGCTGAAAGCGAAGAGTTGGGCTGATGCTTGTCTCCAAGGTTTCACGCCACAGAACATTTCGACACATGAACGAACAGGTTTTGTACAGCAGTAGTGGCGAAAAGCCCGTTCTGCGCTGACTTTGCATGGGGAGACGGGTGCCACCACGTGCGAAGTCAGCGCTATGCATACGATGTCCGACATGATCCGACCAAGAGAAGAGAAAAATAGTCAAAGAGTGCAGCAGCATTAACCTTCAAACACCACGCACAAGGCGGGGCATTAATTAAATAATAATAAAAATAATCGTCCCCGTCAAACATTGGTCTTTACGTAAGTGATCGCTCCCGATCTATATGGGTAGTCTGAATAGGCGTGGTCAATTGCGGAGACACTCTCGACGTTTCAGCATCAATTTGTCCACCTCGTCGTTCGCCAAACTGCTGTACGCCCGAAGGTTGCGAGCTTACAACACCGTTCGCTGAATGCGAGCATGAGAGCTACAGGATGGGAGGCTCGACGCCTATTGCCCATGCTCGCACGCGATTTACCATTATTACAAGCCAAAGCCAGTTCACGCACCCACGGGCACCGACAGCCAAGATGAAACTCCGACACTTATGTATCCATCTGCAACTGATCTGCAAGTTCATCTACTTCCTTGCTGTACAGCAGTATGACCTCGCTGGCGCACTGGCTGCCCCGTTAGCACGCACGCGCCGACAGCACCACAAACGCGCAGGATTAACGCGGACTGACGTCGATACAAAACCAGGCGTCATGCAGTTTGGTTGCAAATGGCGTTGTTCTATGCATGATAGTCTAAGCGATGACGACGAGGTCGCCAAATATGATGTTGTCTTCATTGTTTGCATGATGTCATCCTCACCCGGCCCGATGCCCGTGGTTGTCACCGAGTCGTCGCAGCTATTATAGCTGCTTACACACACAACGTACCTCGCGCGCTATGACGCCATGCGACGCGCCTACATACGGTAGCTACAGCACAGTCGTCGGCCATGCTTGACGTGAATAAGTTGCGGTGCTTTATTTTGTTTCATACAGGGCGAGCTCGACAGCGTGCGCGGACCATTAGCCACGTGTGCAAGTTGACGTTGGTGGCGTGTGCATAAATAACAAGCCGTTCGGGAACACACGCAGGGAACGTTTATTCGTCATTCGACCATGCAACTCGAATCTCACATTCGATGGTGCAGGTCTTGAACGTCTCCCGGGAAAAGCACCACATTCCCCCGTGCTTCCTCCTGTCCTAGGTAGAGCACTTCGTTGGAGCCACCTTCGATTCCTCGGCACCATACCACAGCGGCAGTGGTTGCTGCTCTGCTGCTGCTACTGCGGCTATCCATGTGATGCTGGTGTGGTCCTGGCCACGCTGCTGATACTCCGTCTCCAGCCATGCTCTCGTCAATCCAAGCCTGGCTGTCGGATCTCATCGCATGCCCATTACATGACGCCCCCTGCGTAGTGGGCATGAAGAAGCCACTGCTGTATGTACACTGCTCTGTGTGTGCTAATGCTGGGTTGCTGGGTTTCGTTTGTTTTTTTCTGTCGAGTGTTCGCCATGATGCGCGACAAACTATGTAGGGGGCTAGCCGGATGTAAGATGCGCAAAGGGGGGGGAGGGGGTTCCAGAGTATCACCGAGTTGGGGCTGGCCGTTACAGCACGGCAGTTACACTATAACTCGAACTTACTAGATAGATAGTGGTTATGGTTTGCCACTGCTAATCTCGTTGGTTATAACAATACATACTATAGTCTACATCAAAGACGCGCTCGAGACAATATATAAAAACGTACTCTGTGTGTAACTACACTGTACGTGATCTCTTCTGAGCACAGAAAAAGATCGCGGCAGTTTCGCGCATTTTTTTCCGGTCGCTATCGATCATATGTAACACTCTGCTTGCTGTGTTTACCGGTTATTGTGCAGCAATACTCCCGTTCTCGATGCGCTTGCACACAAACTTCATCAGCAATGCGACACGCGCATATGGGAACAAACTCGGTGTGCATATGTGTAGTAGGTATGTACTTGTTTTGTGTATACCTCTCTCTGCAGCTGCGACGAAAATATCCAGGGTCAACGAAAAATAACATTGACGCCGCTCTGCGTGTCAACGAAAGGAACTTCTTCGCCCAGCGCATCCCCTTGAGATCGATGGGATAAATTTTATGTCATACTAAACATGTTCAAGCAATAATAAAGCACTAGAAATTCTGATTGATTTCCTTACTTTACCCGTGAATAACAAAAAAGTATGTAGAAACCAAACCCCGTGCAATTCCATTCTTTGCGACGGGGGAGGGAGCAGCCAACGAGAAATAAGCAAACAAAACGTATCACGTCGTAGAATAGAACAATCGTATCCGTTAACTTGTTGAAACAGTGTCTGGGCTACATGACATATTATATCTGTCTGTCTACGGATATCTATCGGGAAAACAAACCTAGCCATCGGCGACCACCGTTGAGCCTAAGCCTCGTGCTGTGCACCTCATGAGGACCAACCAACGCAACACAGAAACACGCGCATTCCTGGGGTTGTCACGGTGATAGATACAGCGATGACGGCAAGATTGTTTCCCTTATCATCCCCGCAAGGCAAAGCTCTCCGATTCATGATGATGATCAACGTGAAAGAGCAGACCCCTCGCCGTTGAGATTATTATTAATAATGGCCGTGATCCCAGGCTGTTCTTGTTGGGCATAGCCATCTTGACCGGTGTATTCAATAGCAGTGTATTGGCCGTCGTTCACTGCCGCCTGATTGTAAGCTTGCACGACGTACTGTTCCCCGTATTCTCCTCCCCGCATGTATTGTCTATTGTACTCGTCGGCCGTGTCATCTTGTGTCGTGCTGCCGTTATTTGTGCTGGCGTGCCACTCCAAATTCTCGTCGACGGATGCGGAGAGATCTGTCTTGTCTTGATCTTGCATCTGCAGAAGTCCAACACGGGACGACGTAGAAGATCTGCTGCCTGCCTCCGGATCGGGCCAGCGGATAAGGGCTTCGTTGTTGGAGATAGGACGCGAGAGATGTCAATATACTCCGCCATACTGTTTCTGGCCATTTTGGTAATCTCATGTAATCTAGACATCAGACTTGAGAGGGAGTCTACCAGAGATGCCAAGCACTTGTCGGGGTCGTTTGGTGAAACACAGGCGAAGGCCATGCTGCTTGAAAGTAAACAAACGAGCAGAGTCTTCAAAACAAATTGCACTAAACAACACCATTCTGAATCAACTGTGTTTTTGCTCGTCTTGCGGCAGCAACGGTACAGTATTCTTTTCGAATTGTCATACATTCAGGACTTAGAGCGAGCGCTGTGTTAGCCACGTGGCCAAATTGGGTCGGTGCGTGCCCACAGCAACAGCTTTTTCTCACCTATTGAAGATTCCGAGCCGCCCTTGAGGTAACGGGCCTTTCGCGAAACGAAAGCCTCCATCTCCTCCTGAGCCCACACCTTCAGCTCCTGCATGTACTTGCCCAACGACATCGCCGCCTAGGCCGTGTCACCGTTTCGCGAACGGCAGGGCACCCGCGCGCGGACGTCGAACAAGATGTCAGACAGATACGTGTGGTTACCAAAGTCGTGATGACACGATATCATCAATGTTGACAAGCGAAAGGGCCTGACGACGCTCGATCTGCAGCCTATCTTCAGCACGCATCGTCTTGTGGCACTCAATCTCCGCGAACTAATTTTCAGGTTCTCGGTGGAACGGGCGCAACCACGCATGCGATCGTCATTATCACCAAAGCTCTTGAAGCTGCCACTATTGGTGCAGCCCAACACGCCGAACTTCTCGTTGAACCACCATGCACGACGAAATTGAGAGACCCCGAAGCGGAAAGTGATTGATTGGGACCACCACGATCCGCACGAGCTCGACGTTTTCGGCGATTGGCGCAAAGTTGCAAGATTATTCCCTATTACCTGAAGCTCGGCATTCTCCTGAAGTTCCCTCTCGCGGAACACCGTTCGCGCCGAAGCGACGGCTGATGACATCTTAAGGGCACTGTCCCCTGAAGCCAAGGCCTCCAAGAGTAGCCTCTTCCCCTGCAACGTCGCGCACAATGACACGAACAAGTTCAGCCAACCAAACGTTGCCATAAATGAACACTCCGAAACATTGATGGGCAGCTCATTGCCGTTGCTCGCATCCTCTTTTTTTGATATCCACAGCCCCAAAAATCTTAAGAACTAGCGCTTTCTATCTAGGTTGGCCAATGGTACATTGCTTCGCGAACAGGAATACGAGCTACCGCTGTATCTCATATTATCACACCGCATCCTCTTCGTACCTTGGCATCCAATTGACCTTGTTCGTACATACGATACCGATCGCAAAGCTGGTCGCAAAAGTATCGGGCAAACCTGCCGAGGCGGAGCATTGCATCGTCAAACCGTACAAAAGACGCGAAACACCGCATCGTCAATCCACCGTACAAACACATCGTCGCGCCACAACTTCTGCTAGAGCGTGTGGGCACATTCTCTGGTACCGCATATCTGATGCAGGCGATCAAGGCGTGTTTCGGGGTATTGTGGTCGGGTACAAGACGCTAATCCTGGCTGAACCGGAGCAGCACCTGGTGTCTTCCAAGCACTGCATTTTGGCCCTTGCTCTTTCCTTCTTTTGGCCATCTTCGAACCGAGGGTCGTCGTATACCACTTCCTGGTATGAATTCGTAACACCACATGAACAGTACGTACGTGAATATAGAACGCTTTTGGGGCGGGGCTCCTTCGGGGCTGTAACAATGCGTGTGCGTTTCATGGTTTGGCGGGCACCGCACGAAATGTCTGCCGTTTTGATATTTACTATGATACGGCGATCAATCAAACGATGAGGATCAATGACCAAGGGCGATATGACGTCATCACTATTATATTGTCGCATGCACTGGTGCATGTATTGGTGCCCGAAAAGGGGTGCGGCCGACCGGGGAAAAGATGCGTGCCAAAAAATGGAAAATGTTTGTGTGTTCAGCTGTATGGCAGTCGACGTTAATTGCGGACGCGAATCTCTCAAGCCCGTGTACTATGTAGGCAAACCTGTGTCTCTCGGTGGACAAATATGATGTCACCGGCGTCGTCTTGCTCCATCGTCCACTTCGCTGCATCTTCCATTGCGACAACAACGTCCCCTGAGAGGTGCGTATTTCGCAACACAATGTATCAAAGTGGGTACCGGTAATATATATAGGGACAAAGGCAGGGAAAGTAGGCACCCACCCTGGTTAGTTGTTGCTGTGGACGGTTATGTTGCGGCATGTACGGTTGGTGCTCTGCGGAACACATGTGTCGATCCTAATGATGCCGGCGACAATCGATGCAAGGCTGCCAGGGAGGAGACAAGCAGATACACTCATGCGGGTCGGGAGAAACACGGGTCGGCAGTAACAACACCTTGGCGTCGTTCTTCAAGGGCACAGAAATAATACCAGCCATGTGCGTTTAGTTTGCCAGGGGCACATGCATGCACCGGCCCGTGCTATTTGTGTTGCACCGTGCATCGTAGTCAAGACGACAAATACCTGTTTTCGGGTCGAAGTACCGGAGCTTTCCCGTTGCTTCGTCGTACAAGTGCTCCCACCTGAATATCCAGTGATTGAATAGCAAGTTACCGGCTAAGTGGGCGCGAGATCTATCGGTAGGTCTACGGTGCCTCACGAGAAAGACAGAGTGACATGCTGAAGGTTCCCTCTCTCTCTCTCTCTCTCTCTCTCTCTCTCTCTCTCTCTCTCTCTCTCTCTCTTGCCTTGACGACTTTCGTCTCTGTGAAATGGCAAAAGCAGCATCCACAAAATCGGAGAATCTATGGCGGAGTGCGCTCACCAAGGCACGACCAAAAAGTTTCTGAGCGTGAACGATGAGGTGGTAGTCACGAGCGACACAATATCTATCTGTGCTATAGCTTTCAGGTTCGCTCGTGCCTTTGCTCCCTGTCGAAGAGGTGCTGGTTGGCTCTTCGCCTCCTGCTAAGCATCTCTTTTCTCGCTCTGGCCTCGGCGACGGCAGGCTCGATGAAGTTTCTCAGCTGCACCCATGCCCCGTTGCTCCGCACCATCATGGCGTCCTTGCACAGGAGGTATATCGTGTACAGGGGGGCACAGGAGGTTTTGTATGGCGTGTGAAGAGCTTCGGGGTTGGGTGGCTCTCGCGAGGGTAGCTACGGCACAGACACCGACCGTCCCGACCGTACTCGAGGGGTTTGCATGGCGCTTCGATCTCACATACTGGCGGTGGCATGTTTTTTTACTAATATGGTGCTCCAAACGTACCCCGAAGCACAAACTGCGCCCCGCAACTCGCCCCCCAAAACATCTTGACACATAGTCTCTTTTAACCCCTGCCTTACGCGAGGAGAATGTTGCTCTCACTTGCTCGTCGTCAAGGTTGATCCATTTCCGCCCCCCGCTGTCGAATTCCAGGCGGTGTTTGACCCTCTTGCGGTTGAGCCTTTTTAGGCCATCCATTCACAACACGGAGCGGATAAGCAGACGGAACGCGAACTCAAAATCACACATGGCTACAATACGTTATTTTGTGTCTTGTAGTAGCCTTCTTTTGTTTTCCTGCTTGTGCCTTTTCTGGCCTGAAAGAACGCATTTATTACTTTTGATTTGGGTCAGACGCTCGTAGGCATCGCGCAGCTGATGACCCATTTTTACCTAGCATTCGCCGTGCGGCGTTGATGACTACAACTTCTCACCGTGTGAGTTGACCCTCGCCCGCCAGGCCAGCGGACGTCGGACGAGTTAGCCACACTCGCATTCCCACGAGGCCTTCCTCGAAGGCCAAGGGCTTCACGGGTGAAGACTCCCGTAAGGCGGCGTTCCACCAATAACTATGGTCCGCGCCCTCGTCCCAGATCTAACGAACAATGGTGGGCACGATCAAGTGGTCGGTGGGTACGATCGTATGCAGGGCTGGACAGGGAGAATGAAAGCACACGAACAAACCCCAGGAATGGAACTCCTACGCAGTAGTGTAGCTTGGAGGAAATTGAGGACGCACACAAAATGACTAGCATCGTCATCAAAATCGAGGGTGTTTGCACGGTAACAAACGAATAACAGGTGAGAGTGTCACCAAGAACAGGTTCGGGACGGGCGCCCCTGATAGTGTGGGGAGGGAGACGACCTAGTGCCGCGAGCTTAGGTTTCCACGTGTCACCATGTTTTCGTAGAGCCCAGCTTTCTCTCTGCATCGATTGCGTTGAGGCTATATTCAAATCCTTGCCACAAGGTAAATCCTGTGCATGCGAGGGTTTCCCTACCTCCTCCCAGTGGTCGGTGGCATCTGCTTCGTCGTCATCCTCGCTGCATGAGTCCCTGCAACCAAGGGGTCCATCCGAGGTGGTACAGGACGGGCAGGTTCACCATTCAAAACATGGGGAGCACTTCCAAATGCTCAACCGAAGTGGTCCTCTTGAGTTTCGTCCTCGCAACAGTAAAAGCGCGTCGTTGACCGACATCCGAGGCTCGGCAAGTCTTGTCACTCTCGATCTTAGTAGAACTACACACTGGGAACTGCGGCAGCGAGATATCTCCCCAGCAGAGATAACACGCACTCTGGGGTGAGACACCCAAGAGAAAATGAACGTGCCTCATATCCTCACAAGTTGCCTTTAACTGTGGTTCTGTTGCGATGGCTCATCTGCGCACACCAAATCTCAACGTATATACCCACACTGAACCCACTCTCGAGTTCCATACACAGAGTATACCATAACACCAACCACATCTCTAGACTTGTGAAACAGAAAACACGCAATACCTGCCGGCCTCGTCAACGAGATGCTGGTAGCGAGCACGACCGCCGTCCAACCTCTCCTGGAACTCCATCTCTTGCCTCATAAACACGTGCTGCGCCACCTTGTTCAGACGAACATCTCGCCAACTCATCACGCGGCCGCCTCTAAACACCTGCGGATAAGACACGCGAGTGATACGGAGAGGTGGGAGGTGGCGGGGAAGCTCAACGCAAAGGACACTTGTAAGATACATGAGTAAAGAACAATCACGCGTGATGTGGTAGTGTGCGTAAAACGCTGCCATTTTGCCGGGACCCCTGCTTTTCGATCACCTTTTGGATCTTTCGAGCCGCCCTGCTACTCTTCTTCCACTCTCGGTGCACTCTTCTCCACTCTCCTCGCCCACGGTGCCCCCTGAACGCCGCCTGAAGCTTGATTGCTGTTTTTGGTGTTTGAGGTTTGATTTTATCGAGCGTTCAGCATTTGTTCCCGACACGAACGGAGAACGAGTGTCACGAGCAACTTCCCACCAACGCGGGGGCGACATACAAACATTTCCGACACTGTTGGACATCAGTTATGTGTGCTGACGAACGATTCCACCGAATTTCATCACGGTACCCGTATCTCGCCGCATCTAGAATGCCTAAAGCGCTTCTTCTACGGTGCTTCGGATGCCACCGGCATTGTTCATTATACTTAGGTCCTGCTCGCAAACGCAGGGTCACAAGAACGAATGGCAAAAAGGGTCTGAACCCACCGGTGCGGTGCCTTGCTCGCTTGACTCTTGCCATCTGGCTCTTAACCTGGGCACCCGTATGCTTGCCAATGCAACCCCTCCAGAACGACTGCCGGACACATTGAACCGCCGTAGAGGACGAAGTACGGGTGGGAAAACTTCACGGCATCCACGAAATGGAGGGGTGGGGGAGATTGGGGGAGCTACCGAGTAGGTAGACAAACAACCTAAAGCATGGCAAAATATGCTGGATCTCTTGAGCAGAAGGATGTCGTTTCGTGAGCAAAGCCTCGTGCACTGCGTCGTTGGAGACGGGCTACCGCCGAGTAATCTACTGTGGCACAACCTCTTACCTGGAGTTGAACAGCGGCTCTTCGCTCGATCTCTTTCTGTGTCTCTTTTTGCATCTTTAGCTTACTCAGCCAGATTCGCGCGAGGAAGCAACGCGCACTGCCCTGATAGATGAGTGCGGAAGAGGGCAGGGGAAAGGAGAACGCGACCCCCGTGCGGCAAAGGTTACAAACGAGCTGTAGTAGCTTGTCGATAAAGTCGACCACCCAGTTGTTGCCTATTTGCCTTCCACCGTGCTGCTGAATTTGTGGCGTTCACACATTGGTCCCAGTCAGCCTTGGTTTACCTGTACACGCGTCAACAGAAGTGGGAACCCACTAACCTACACAAAGCGGTTAATCTCCCCATAAAACACTCCCCCGATAAGGGCGAATGGGTCTTCCGTCGAATCCCCGAAAATGTCAGGCGTTCCAGGATGGTCGACAAATCGATAGATGGGTCGTTTCGCCATGGGGAAATATTATTGCCAAGCCCCCCCACGCTTGCCTCCACGTTTGACCACCAGTCGGTCGGCCTATGTGGGGCATGAATTGAACATGGCTTAAGTACCCTATGGATAACAAAGTCGGTCACATCGCACTTTGGGTTCACACAACCAGGCGTTTCGACCGAGGTGCTTCATTGTCAACTCGCCTGCATCTTGCCCGAGCTGATGTCAATATCTCGCACCCTCTGTCGCTTCACCTCCCGCCATGCCGCGCACCGTTTGAGGCCAATCCACCCCCGCACCGTGGCTTGTACTCGCACAGCCGCCGCATGTTGAAGCTCCTGCAATAGGGGAACATTTCGGTATGCGACGCGACGATTTCTTCGACGAGAGTGTCGTGCAGTGGAAGGGTCGGGCGCTTCGGACGGGCAGAGAGACGGGTGTGTTGCACTATTTATTCTCTTCGACCCGCGAGCAGGGGTGCCGCCAAAGGGTGCCCACCTCGGTTCTAACGATCACATGGTCGGGCCACGAACATGCCGTGATAAACTATACAACGGCGTGGGGGTTGAATAGGCGTGCAGTCGCTTGGCTGCCTTGACAGAAGCCAATGCTACCCGTAGGAATGGTAGGAAAAAAAAACGGAATTCATTGTGCAGGTGTACGACGCCCACGTTCAGCGACTTGTTCTGGCGGAATCACCTGCTTCCGATCTTCAAGCATCCCTTCGATGGCCGACTGCCAGCGTTGTTGGCGTGTTCGACCGGCGGTGTTTTGAGAGGCAGAGGTTTCTGTTAGTCTGTTGCATTGACCACCATGGTGAGAACAAAACGAGTTTTCATGTGTCTCTCGTCGAAACAGGTCAGTGCTAACGACCAACTCATACTTTTCGCGCATGAACGGCATCCAACTAACGGACAAAATCCCGAACGGGTGTGGTCGCGCTTGAAATTTGTGTAAGTAAGTATCCGAAAGTGAATGAAGATATGGAGATTGAACAGACTAGACGCAGGCATCACAAGAGGGTTATTCCAGCCGCCGCCTGACCCGCCCCTGACCCGTACGCCCCTAGTAAGTGCAACGTAGCAGTCCGGAAGACATTCACACATACCCCAATCAGATTGTCGTCCCTCCTGGCCATGAAACCTCGGAAAATGGCTTGGATAGGCACGGCTCGGCTGCCTTTTGCCAGCAGTGCGCGCTTTTCCTCCCGCAATACGCTGGCCCTTAGGCGAACTCTGCTCGACGGACGTTGACATTGGAGGTATATTTCTTGCGTAGTTTGTGGGACGTTCAGCAGTATTCGTAGGCCACCGAACGCACGGCGCCCCGTTGGTCGTGAAAACTTGATTGTGGGGCCACAGACTATAAGATTTTCGATTGCCACAACAGCGACTGATCCCCAAGGCCTGCTACTCAGTCTTCGTCGGTGTCTCGGGAGTCTTCCAAATCGCGTTGGGAATTTTGACCGTCAGAGACGCTCGCAACAAAACGTTCCGCTGGAGTACCATTGCCCGCAGCAAGTTGTTCTTGCTTGTACTATGTCATGGTATTAATAAAGCCCAGTACTTCGCCCGTTTCCGTCGGGCATTGGGCCATTTTCTTTAACTAATGACTTGACTAACGTGCTATGTAGCACAACCACACCCCACCTGTGTGCCCTGTACACTCGCTGTATCTCGAGTGCCGCCTTGTTTTGCTTCCTGAGCAGACGTGTTTCCCACCATACCAACTGCAAGCGTTCATGGGAGCGTCGGCAGAGGAAGTCGGTTCGAGAAAAGACACGAGCCAGTCGAACTGTTGAACAGTCGACGTGGCAAACGAGCGGGGGGGGGTCCGGAGTAACAATTGAAGCAGGTGGGTGCCCCCGAGAGCTAAGGACAACAAGCACAAAACAGTGACAGGAATCTTGGGCTCACCTTTTTGTGGTAGCGATAGTAAGCCGCCTGGATAGTGCAAACCGCAGCTTCGGCTTGGGCGTAGGCGGCTCTCAGCGCGTCCGCCAACCGCTTTTTGTATCTTCTCCAACATCTCTGCGAGGAGAGTTCACAACGCAGTAGACGATGACGGTTTCCGCTTTCGCCAGGGCTACCAGGGTCGCCGCCACTTGGGCTCATGTTGATGAGACTTTCACACAGACACTTGCAAATCTTCAGAATGTTGTGTATGTCACAATACAAGCAAAGAAAAGACATTCAACAACGGAGATAAATACACACGACCAGCGAAAAAACGAAAAACAAGTGAAGCCTGGGTTAATCGCCTGTCTCATAGAGAAAAATAAGACACCCATCAATACACTCTAGCATTTCCCGAGCTAGAAGAAGGAAGAGCGCCAGAAACACACGCCCTACGGGAATATTGTAGAGCGTCCCGTTCAGGCTTTAGTCTGTCGTTTACGGTACCTGGATAGCGAGCACCGCTGCGAGCTCGATAGCCTTGTGCGATTCCTCTATCTGACGTCAATGGATAAACGCAGGCATTGACCAAAGCGGGCGTTAGTTTCTGGGGGCTTGACTGCAAAGCAAGGGCAAGCAGTGCATGCGCATTGAAGCCCGCTTGCGCTGTCTGTTCCAAAGGTCTCGTTAAAATTCACCGAAAGCGACAGGTCGTCAGGCAAAGGTCGGGGTTAGGGTAGAGCAGCCCCTACCGTTGCAAACATACGCAGAGGTCGCACAGCACGCCGTGAAGGTATCAATCATTGGTGTGTACGTCATTGCTACGCCGGTGATTCGCGAGGGGTACAACTGGGGACCTACAATACACGAAAACACCGGACAAGGGGTTTCCGGTCGTCACTGTTGCAGAAAATATGACGTTGCGCCTCGAGTCTCGCCGGAAGCGGGAAAGGGATGGTGTCTCACGAGCCATACAATAGTAGCACCGCCCATAGACTGCCAGGGAGCATGGATAGCGCCCGGAAACAGAAAAAACTCCAAGTGCCAGGTACACGACCGTCCATCGGAAAGCACTGCGACGCTGCCACGAGTATCTACCATACAGATGGCGTGATGCGTGTGCTGCGTTAAAGCAATATCGCCATCGTGCTATACTACGAACCTGATGAACTTGAACTCACCCTCTTGTAAGGTGTGGCAGCCCACACCAAGGCGAGGCCCATGCCTAGTCAATGGGTTCACTGCTTGAAGGTCCGTTTCGAGAAAAGGCGATGGACTCACCCTGCGGTCTATCATGCTCCTTTGTGGTATAAAGCCGAAGAACGTCTTTGCCTCCTGAACCAGCGACGGCCCGACGCCTTCGATTAGGCCGTGCAGCCCCGCGAGACCAACTTCTACACAGCCGGTAATGTTGAGCGTATGGAGGCCCGGGCAGTTCTGAGCTAGGCAACAGACGCCTCGCTCCGTTACCTGTAGAATCCAGTGGGTTGTTCGAGAGAGAGTGCACTTCATTCGAATAGCTTGCTGTATCGTGTGCCATATCCATGACTTACAGACACAGAATACGGCTAAGCGTCGGGAGCATCATATCGTGCACTTGTCTTGGCTTTCGTTCGGCGCAAGAGGAGCCTCAGAAACCCACGGTAGTGGTGGCGGTCAGAGCGCATGGACATGGTGCATCACAAACATAGGGCACTCGGTTGAAGCGAAGAGGTAGCCCGACAGAGAAGAGAGCTACGAAAGTAGCGAGATCAGTCTGCGGCGGGAGCCCAGCCGCCCATAACAAAAAACACACGAATTGGCCAAGGGTCATGGCCGAGTCCTCCACAGGTGGATCGCAGCTTCTCATGGCGCTCCAAATCGTATCATCAACCAGCACGGGCATCAACTCTTTCAAAGGAGGACACTTGCCTCCTTAGCTCCGGCAATGTTGAGCGCCTGCAAAGATCTACACCCCCGGCTTAGAGCAGACACACCCGCATCGGTCACACGACCGATGAGCGCCACATTGAGCGACACCAACCGGGGGCAGTGCTTGCTTAGGGCAATGAGAGCTCCATTCTGCGGAGGCGTCCACAAACAAGAAAGACAATTCAATGTGTCAGGCAGGAACAACAGGGTCTTAAAACTGTCGGTACCTTTGCTCGTGGTCAGTCAACCTCAACTGCAGCCTCGAAGACTTTAGCGGGACGTGGCAATCATTGTGTGTCCTACTTTCTGCAGTGATAAGTTTTGAATCGAAACCAGGCGATAGCACGTGTACACGGGAATAGAGAAGCAACAAAGAAACAAACCTTGACTTTTCCGCAATGGTAGAGGTTGAGCACCGACATATTGGGGCAGCCTCGGGCGATGTATTGCACGCCTTTCGTGGTTACCTGTCTCACGGAGATGCACAACAATAGGAAGCGCGGGGCACCACCGATTTCTCGCCTATTCGACACTAACGTTTCATCACGTTAGCTCCTGACATTTCTTGCAGCATGATGTTCTCAACGTCTAGCCAAGCCAACTATCACGAATGGCTGGCCTAATACACCTCAATGGTTGCGATGAACAACGGCCTCTCAAAAGTAGGCATATTTGACGGGGGTATGCGTTGGGGTTGCCGCATGAGAAACGCCTCTCCTTGCCCAGAATCTCAGTAAACCCACAGACAATGAGGATCCTGCCAGTATAGGGTGCCTGTGGAGTGCAGTACCTTGTCACAACCGGAGAGGTTGAGGAAGCACAATCTCTGACATCCTTTGGCCAGCACTCGAAGAGAAACGTCAGACATCCGTTTGCAGTCCGCCAGGGACAGTGATTGCAGCAAGGCGCAGCACGAACCAAATCCTATCGCACCACCAAGATACGCGACTGCCTAGAGAGGAATCGGAGGTGTTGAGAAGGAAGGCAGTGTAAACGCGGTGTGATGTACTACTGCATATTTGTGCAGTGCTTGGAGTACTTGTAGAACCAACAGTAGTGCCGTGCGACACCCCTCTTCTTGCATCTCCAAGAACCGCAGTTCCACACAACAAATGGAAAGTATGGCACCCTCTCACATATCTGCATCGCTGAACCCCACCTCATCGTTTAATCCTGTACAGTCAGAGAGGTCAACGCTCGTCAGCGTACTCTTGCAGTACTCCACCAGCGCCCGGACGCCGAGGTTATTCAGCTGCAACATTGCCGACAGAGGTCGAACACGATTGGGCCACTGTTCAATACGACTGCGGGTTGTAGTTGGCGCAGCAATGCCCGATAGGGCTAGATGAGGTTTGGGGAGTTTCTCAGCCGATCGCAAATTGGGAGGAAGGTCATACCATGTAACGTTTGGTACACGCACGCTGTATCGAACGTTGTAGGCACGCCTGCATCGTACGCAATATTGGGCGAGGAAAAACGAGGAAAAACGCAGTAGAGAGCGCCCAGCATGTTGCAGAAGCATTTTCACGCACGTCTTCGGCAATTGCGTAATCAATTCGAGGCACGGTACCACCTTCAGCTGTGGTGGCAATTTGACGGAAACGCCAGGAACATCACCTGGCGACACGAGGCGAGGTTGATGGTCCGGAGGCAAAATAGACGGGCGGCGAAGACCTCGAGCATTTCGTTTGTTGTTTCTGTTCTGCTGAGGTCTACCTGTGTCGAACACAGATAAATACAAACATGCGTCGGTCGGTTGCATGTCGCAGCTAGCCTCGAGCGCTACGTAAGTGACGAGTGTGTGAAGATGTTGTGGGAAACTGTACTTGTACCTGCGGTACTTTGCACCTGCTGTGCCATGAGGTTTACCAGTATTAATCTAGTGTTGAGAGCAGGATACGTCGGATGACTTCACCAAAGGTGATACCGCACGACGCTCCACACAGCTCGTGGTGCAAGAGAATGTCCAACTAGCAAGCCACATCGTGTATATGGTCCGCAGAAAACACATACGTTGTACAACACGGAATCCGAAGAACATCGGACTGTCACGAACTAGAGTAAGGTATGACGCTGGCGCTCGTGATTCTCGATGAGCCAATGACACCGCTTGGTAGGCTTACCGTCTGAAGAGAGCCCCCTACGGCCAGGCATAAGCTACGGAAAGACAGGAGGCGGACCCCTTTCCAGCCGCTGAGGTCGATCGAGCCGAACAAGTGGCACTTGCGCGTCAGCTCCGATAATTCCTTGGGATCTAGTCCCCCAAGCTTGTGCTGCTTCAGCTTGACTTCTTGGAGTTTAGGAGGATTCTCTGCCAGCGCAATACTGCCGCAGAACATCAGCCCCACAGAACATCCACGTCTCTTGTGAAAAAGATGTGAACAATTGGCTTTTGGCATTACGTACTCGGATATCCCTCAGATCCTACTCTTTATGTACGTGTCTCTGTGCTTCTTGAATCTCCATATCCTGACCTCCACATTCGTACGTTTTTATTTTCTAGCAGGCCCAGTACAAAACTCGTCACTATCCATAGACTATGTGGAGGAGTCTACAGGTACATGTGTAGTTTTTTTTTTTCTTTCATGCATGCATACCGTGTGCGGGCAAACTGCAGCAGATAGGCTGCTGAAACTCTTATCTTCGCTACCGCCTGACCCCAAACGCAGGTGGAAGTTCAATGGAATTCGGAGGGAGACAGCAGCAATCTACTATGAACGGTTCTCGAACTGGGACAGTGGTGGACCAACATGTTCATGCCTACGGTACTTGGATTGGAAGCACCCAACGGCTCACCGTACTTTGTCCGCTTCTCGTTCTTTCGGGGGTCTTCTTTCGGTCGACATCATTCGTTTCGCCAAGAGGGTCCCCCATTCGGGACCCATTTCCAATCTACGATTGTCCCGGTCGAGCTCCATCGTTATCACCTTCAACTACCCTCACAAGCAGATCTCTTCGGTGCTCTCCCCTTGTTTTGGGTAGGCGGTGCAATAGGTTACGTTTCAAACCTTTCATACAACAATACATTGATGCACGCCGCGCTCTCCTGCCCTCCTCTCTCTTCGCTCACCGCCCACAGATGGCAGGCAGTTATGAAGATAGAAGTGCGTCAGAGCACGTACTTACCAACATCCAGGACTAACTTAGGTGCAATTTGTGTGCTCTGAAGCCCAAAAAATTGCATTTACCGTACATGTGATATTTTGGAGACCTCTGCTATCTACTGCTGCTGCTGCTGTTGTTACTTTTATCTGCGCGGTACAGTAGATACAAAGTGGCAAAGTGGCATTTATCGCCGGGGCCCGACACACAACATATAATTAATTCCCCCCGGATCCAGAGGATCAACTAAACAAACTGTATGCCATAAGAAGGATACGAACTAGAGCGTTCGAACGTATCCCTTTTCATGAGGACAAAATGGCCAAGATAGGATAGCTGTCGCTACAACGAGCGACAGCTGATAGATGTAACTATATATCTATGTCGTCAGACGTGTGCGTCCACGGGCGGAAACAGAGCGCAAACACCACACACTTGATACTTAAGAGGAAAAATAAGTACACGCACAGAAAGACTACCCATTCGAGATATACCCACAGTCGAACGGGATGTGGTGGAGTCTTTTCAGTGAGTGGAGGAAAACCGGCTGGGTACTGGACATATTTCGAGTCTATTAAAGTCTATGCACTGATGATTAATATCAGTAAATGCCAGCTGGTGCTAAGTACAAAAACATCTGTATAGGTAACTTACATTTTACAATACATCCCCTGTAGTTCTCTACTGGGTCAACGACAAAATATCGGGGAGAATCCCTCCGTTGTGTCGTGTATTGTAAAATGTAACCTTTACAGGGGACACGGCGCAGTGTCTATTGACAGCTTGCTGGTTTGTTAGATTTTAGGAATAATATTCTAAAAATCATGGAAGATGGAACGAAGGCTACAGCAGTACATCACTCGTTTTTCAAAGAGCAGTGGCCAAAATCGGGTACACCCGGTCCAAACACGGCCATAATCGGGCACCCCTACAAGATGCTGCTGGGAGCGACCGCATGCCACCATCTGACTGATTGGCCGACGCCCGCCCCTGCCCGACCTTGACCGCCTTTCCACCGGGTGCACCCGATCTTGGCTACTCACCCCCGGGAGGGGTACCCGGTTTATCTTTCCCCAACCCGAAAATGGCTGGGCTGTTCGCCCAAAACCCATGCACACAACCACGGGTCGGACGCACACCACTGACCCTCCTTTGTCGCCAGTAATGAGAAAGTAGCGGAGGGAGAGAAATAAATATGTCTATTCTTGAGATGAGTCCCGTGTGTGTCGCATCTCGTGAGGGAGGTATTCATCCAGCTCTTTCTTCTTCTCGATCATTTGCACAGACCGCCAGCCGTTTCCCCCAAGGGAGACTACACCACCACCTGCTGTGCGCTGGTGAGAGAGGTGTTGTGTGGTAACGAATGCGAGGTTTTCACCTGCCGGTTACCTACCCCCCCCCGTCCACATCCCGATTTCGTGGAACATACACCCCCCCCGATACTTATTGTTGGTGAACCCCCTGTTCTCTTTTTTTTTTCGGTGCTGCTCAGCATGAGCTGTGCCAGCGAAACAGCAAGACACACAAGTCAGTTCTCGTCACCTAGCGCACCAATCGTCATGGCACTACTTCGAGCGTGTGCTCCATTGCGATATATAGGGGCGTGACAATTGTGTTGGGCATGGGTGCTGTGTGTGGGAAGAGCTTCATGGCGGCGTGGAATCCGACCAATTTTCAAAAAACGAATCGGCAGAGATCCTCAAGACTATCGAAACTGAAGATGATAAAGCTTGCGGGTTGCGTTGAATAAAAAACAAACCGAAATATCCCCTCACCACCTTTGCGTACCCCACCCCCTACCCCCTGCTACTACTGTCTTGCGTTTTTCTAGTCTTGGGGGGGTGCGTATGTTTAGGCACCTCTCCCCCCACTGGGTTTGTCTGGGCCAGGGCACACCACACACATACGCAACCGCACGCACGCGCACGCGCCCACGTCGCACGATGACACGGAAAACTCGGGTGTGAAACAACGATCAGAGGCATACACAAACAGTCTGAAGACAGTGAGTAAGTGACGGAAGCAGAGGACATGAGCAACCGGAGGTGTTAGAAAATCAGCAACACCGCGCAGCACAAAAATGCACAAAGGCAAGAAACTTCGTGTTCAGAACATCTATATAGAGGTAGGCTTCGTGGCCAGACCAAACCAACAGATCAAAAAATGCCATGAAGACTTAGGACGAACACCCACCCTTTGCCCACAATCTCGGCATACACGCGCTGGGGCAGAATCTATTCTTTTTACGAACACGTAGTGACTGTTGCGTGCTACGATGAGCTGCCAAGCCTACTTAAGCGCACAGTAATGTCGGGGGCCCCGTTGACAATTTTCGATGCCGGTAGAGTTCCTTGGAAGAAATCGACTACAGCACCGCATACTTCAGCCAAAACGCGTTCTCCGGCTTCCTCCGTGGAGCCTCCGATGTGCGGAGTGCACAGCACATTCGGCAGTCTGCTAACGGCAGCACGTGGGCGTCGAACTCAACCCAGTCAGTATTGGAAGTGCACGAGGTACTAGGACAGCTGCGGGAAAAAAAGCGTCTGATTGGCACATTGCATTGGCCGCGATCAAGGGTGCGAAGAGGCGGGTCTTGTACAGCAACCACAAAGATGCGAACTGTGAACCATCACCGGAAGCACGCCCTTTCATCTGATTAGCCGAAAAGATCGGACACTATTTTGTCCATTTTACATAGGCGGGGAGGAAGTAGGCGAACGTACGGCACGAAACACGTTTTAGAGTCACCTGCAAAGACTGACGACATGATCCTGAAGAGGGGACCTCTCACACTCGAACACATCAAGGGCTGCGCCTCCCAAATGCCCCTGCTCCAGGCTCTGGAGTAGCGCTGGGAGCAATTAACGCGACAACATTAAGCACGCCTGTTGGAAACGTAGGTACAGAACATAGCTCTCTGGGTGCACGATCCGAAGGCCGTTGATGAAAATTACTCAGAGATAGCACTCGCGCACCTAATTCGTCCACCACTCCTCCTCTCGCCGCATTGATAACCACGGCAGATGGCTTCATCAGGGCCAGTTCGCGTCTAGAAATCAGACCTTTCGTGTCCGCCGTCAGCGGGCAGTGCACAGACAAAAAGTCGCTCTTCGACAAGAGTTCGTCGAGCGGCAGAGGAGGCAACGTCACCCCTGCTTGGCTTGCCGTAGCCTCCCGCTCGGATGCGCGTGGGTCGATCTCCTCAGCTCTCCCCGAGCAAGGCGTCGGACTCGACCCTTCTGCTATCATTACCACCATGCCGAAAGCCACAGCCAGTCTTGCCAGCTGATGAGTTGCAGGGACGTTGAGGGTCGGTAGAAGTCGACAATTGCTTTTCGAGGTCACGCACGGCGTACGTTAGAGAGGCTGACGTACGGAGAACAACACGACCCTCGTCTGGACCACATCGCCTACATGGTGCGGGAAGTCTCGGCCGGGGCAGCATACAATAATTGGCAAGTCAGCGTGTGGTGCTGCACAATGCCAACCCCGAAGCGGAAAGCAACAAAAAAACAGCATGCGCAAGATGCTGCGATCGCTTGATACACGTGATTTGGATCGATCGTCGCGTTTTCGATTCTAACGTCGACGATGTCCTCACTCTTCAAGAAAACCAAAGCGAGCGAAAAGAGCCTGACGTCATATCCCTGAACTTCGACACCAGCCAACAAGAGCTGGAAACCCAGCGGGGGCAGGATATCTGTTCTAGACTATGACTTCTGGCTGGACCCGACGAGAGAGCAAGAAAAATGGACCAATAGGTATGCACGTACCGCTATGCCCACAGAACCGAAGCCAACAATACCCAGTGTCTTTCCGCTGAGTGTGCGGCCAGTGAAATTGCTCTTAGCCCATTCCCCGCGTCTTGTGGTGTCGCGCGCTGACGAAATGCTCCTTGACACGCCGAGCATCAGGCCCATTACCAACTCTTGCGGAGACAAGAGCAATGGGAACGCGTGATTGGTGCGTTTCAATGGATCTTATCATTGGTATTCATATTCTAGGTCTTGCTTGCTCGAGACTCAGAATCGTATAACAGCAAGTTCACAGTTCAACTGCCTTTATGTTACCGGTTGTATCTACGAGATGCGACGGAAAGTACCGCAGCTAAATTTTCTAGCAAGTAGCGATCAGCAAGCCGCTTTCCGTGCTGCAATCGAGTCGGCTGACCTGCAACAGACCCTGAGTTTCCCGTGGGAGCATTCACAACAGGTACCCCGAGCTCGGAGGCCGCCTTCAGGTCGATATTGTCCACCCCAGACCCCGCACGCCCTACTATCGCGACCCGGGGACTCGCGACTAGCATGTTGCGAGTGATTTGATTGGCCGAACGAACCACGACCGCGTCATACGCTGGGAGGACTTGCTCAAGCTCGGTATCGCTTAAACCATGCGCGGCGGTCACCTTGATTACAAAGAGGGTCAACGGCGCCATGACATTGGTCATGCAAACGGCAGCAAAGCCTTAATCATTCGTCCATGGTGCAGTCAATGTTCAGCTTCGGCCATCAAGTTGCTGGCCGGCAAATCTTACGACCAGGCGAAGACACACGCTACAACGTGGAAAATAGGCAATGGAATCAACAGAGAGAACGCGTCACAGCCGTTTGCTGAACACGGAAAACCGTACACCATGAGTTATCTGGTCGTCCAGCTGCTGTACCATACAGCCAGAACCTACTCGGATTTTACGTGTCAAGTTCGAGAAATGTATGCCACGCTCAATACGCGACATGACAGGCTGTGTCATCTGCTCAAAGAAGGGGGTCATCAAACATGATACAAAGTGCACCCGGGTTCATACTTGGTTTCGTCATCGCAAAAATAACAAGCATAGGAGAAGACCCCGGGAGCGTAGGCCAAGTCCTATGTGTCTAGAACACCGCTCTGTCCACTCACACGCACATGGCTACTCGCTATCTCTGTTTCACCCGCGATGTTGGGCCAAGGCAACCTAGGAACGGCAGGACAACGCAGTTGGGGTCGCTTGCGGGCTCATGGCAGTTCATGCCCTCCTAATTTCGAGGAGTTTCACGGTATGTGACTTGAAAGCAACATCCATGGTAACAAACATGGTACTTATGAAGCATGTTCGCCTGGGGTTACCTCGTGCAGGCGAAATTCTTTCCGAACAATCTCTACATGTTAAGGTGTACAGCATATCCGCTATGCTACAAGCCAGCGCTAACTTGTCGCCAGGTTGATATGATGCATATCTTAACGAAAGTATGTACAACCGGGGTTCAACTCGTTTGAGCTGTTGGACCTCGGAATTAACCCCAGGGTGGTAACCCCTGTAATCAGCGCTGCCCTACATCTTGTGCCGTTGTGTGTGCGGGGGTGCGCCTCAACGAAAGGGGGACAACTCTTAGCAGACTACGGTGAACGCTGTCAAACCCACCTGGTATCCAGCTGTCTCAATCCCCTGCCCAGATTACGACAACAAAGCGAGAACATGGGTTGCCAAACATGAGTTAGATTGTGTGATCGTGTGGCACGTGGAATGTGGAAGCAGCCTTGGTGCTCTTAGGCATGCAAGGGTGCGCAAGCACAAAAGACAAAACCATCCGCTATCTCTCTCCTGCATTCAAGGGTGTGGGACGTAAGCATAGACACAACCGCCGCCGTCTCTCTCTCTCTCTCTCTCTCTCTCTCTCTCTCTCTCTCTCTCGTTCCTGCAGCCGAGTCCAGATACCATGGGTATGAAGGAACCGAACACCGCATTTTAGGAATCTGTCGAGTCTACTGCATCATCGCTCGCAACAGAGGTTGATCCCAGAAGCTATGACATTACATCAAGACCAATCCGGCTCAAATAAGCAAACTTGAGGCGCCCGTGGTTGCGTGGTGGGGCAACAATATCGTGTACCTGGTATACAGGGGACGCCGGGTCTAGGACCAATATGTGTCTCTGTGTCGTGTCTGTTGCACGAAGAGCTCCGCATATACCCTGACGTGGACCGAGCCATGTAAGTCTGGAGCGTACCGCGAGGAACGCGAGGGCTACGCCTGTGGATCGCATCGCTGCGATACACACAACGCTCTCTCGTTTTACAGTGGTAGATGCATGTGTGAGGGGGTGCAGTCAACAAAGCTCGCGCTCTATATAACCCTCCCCCCACCCCTGTACTCACAATTTGTGCCGACCCCGCGCATGAAGTAGAGAGACATCACCTGCTGCTGCCTGCGCAAAGTGACACCACCTTAGAACCTCAGCGCAGCAGCCCTCCTCTGGTGTCGGCGTGGGGACAATGACGGGCATTCAAAGCTATCAGCAAGAGACTACAACAGCACAACAGTATTACTGCTGTGCTGTGACATGTACCACCACCTTTGTTTGACTCTTCTTGCTGCTGTAGACTAATGCATCATCTTTGGACCATCTAAACCTACATAAGAGATATATTTGTGCTTGTTGTGGACTACACAGGAGGCATGCTTTCATGGTAGGATTGATGTATTCATATGCACAGAGTCTACCGGTTCAGCAAGTGTACGAAAGACAGCGTTGCGGTAATGTTCACGCTGCTGGCATCCTGCTCAGTCCCATCTCGGTCTACTTGGAAGTGTCGGTTCAGAAATGCGCAGAACCAATTTCTCGGGGAAATCGCGTTGAAATCCACCATTCCACCGCACGCGCTAAAGATCTCTGCTACAATGTTTTGAGAGGTTTTTTGCTTGGATTCCCAGAGGGTAGGCTCTATGCCTTCCCTGATTTTGTGTCTCCTCTGACTTACACCCGTTCCTGGTCCTGTCATGTCAAATCCTGTCTTTGCCGGTTGGCTTCACCAAGCAAGCAAGTCAGCTACTACACTACAAGACCGAGTTTGGCTTCTCTCGTGCACCTGTGGCGTCTGCATCGACGATAGCGTCGTCGACTTCTTCCAAACCGCTTACCGTAAGGTTGCGAGATATGGCACCGAGTGTGTGTGTTTTTCTTTGTTATTAGCGTCGACCTCGCTAACCGGCTGACCAATGAAAAGTCTGGGTGTGTCTTAGTCCCATCTATTCTGGAGCCGGTTCGCAGGCCTTTCGGCGTATGTATGGACTATGCCTGACGTACAGTATCCGCCGGGGTCACACAAGAGGAAGGTCACACCGAGTGCGATCGAAATATTAATGTTTATTCTTTCCTTCTCTTCGCACGGCGGTGTCGTCTCTCCGGACCGGTGCTACCTTTAGCAAGGCGCCCCGGTGCCATGTCTCCGACCGGTGCGATGCCCAAGTATGTACACATATTGACCTTACAGGTGCTACGGCCGTGCTGAATACGCGCACCGGCCATCTCTCGCACTATTACGGTACTCGCTACCACCACGGTAGGCTTATCGATTCCAGTGTGTGAGCAGATGTATTTATCCGGTTCAGGTACACAAACACAGCCAACAAGGTGCCCAGCAGGAACACAGTGCGCCACCATAATCAGGGCAGTTAAGCAGTCAAGTTGTACCCTACCCCGTATTGTAACCGTGGCGGCCGAACGGGATCTCTTGGGACGATGTAGGGCAGACGCCGGGGTTTGATTACGGGCCAACTCTCAAATGGCGGAATAGCGTGCTGGGCCTTGGCAGTGAAGGTGGTCTCGGTCGCCGTCATTGGCAAGCAGCGAATTGTTCGTCTCGTCTCCTTCCTGTCGTCTCTTGTCCATCGATCATAAGCACCTCCATCCCCGCAGAGGCATTCCCTCTCCTCCTCAGTTTTTCGTTTGGCACACGGCAGCAAATCAAAACCTCCAGCAATACCTGAGATTTAGAACACAACAACACATACATGCCGAGAGAGCCGCGACAAGGGGCGTGCGGCGAGAATAGACGAGGTCAGCGGCCGCGTAGTTTCGAAAACGCGGCTACGCCGACCCCTCTACTATGCCATGAAACGAACGAGAGAGAGCGGACACAATCAGAACCCGGACATACTATACCTAAATCATCTGATGCACTTGCACTGTCACACCCGTGCCTCTGGATTCCCTGAGAACAAAGCTCAGTGCATGTTGTCCTCAAATTGGACCGCTACGCCTCCAAAAGGATAGGGCTGGGAATTGTGAACGGGCGTGGAAAGCCGTAGCGAAGATGGATATCCGAAAAGTATAGCTATGCCGCAGGTTTCAGCAGCAAGGTTGACGAGGCACTGGTGGCCAGAGGTCAGGTTGTGTGGAGGTTGCACGCCGAAGTGAGCAGCTAGTCCCGCATCTCAGAGAGTGACATTAGTCCAACTTACACGGCCCAGCACAGACGAACAACATGTTCAACGTCGATCAATCCGTCTCTTCAAGCCCCCCACCCCGCCCAACCTTCACAGGTTGTAATCGACGTCCAATCTTCCCCTCGGTCCCCTAGTGCACTCTTGAAGGATTCAATCAGCACCTACAGGCTGTAGATCAAATCAACACTCCTCAGGTTGCTGATTGTTTACCGAAAAACAAACGCCCGTGACGGTGGCACCAACGTATGTTCCTCACGATACCGATGCCGACACTCGTGCCAAAATATTTTTTAAGAGGCATAGACCAATCATACAATGATGCAGGAACTCGAATTCGAGCGCCAAACCAACGCCTCACGAGGAACCGCACCTCCAACGCGACCGAGGCAAGCCCCAAGCCACGCTGAAGGCGGAGGAGTTTGTTTTGAGTACCCAGATGCGTATGGTGTGAAAAATTGACACGATTGACAAGGCGAGATATAGAAGCTAACGCATGCACCACTTACAAAACAAATAGACGTGTAAAAAGGACAGAGAGATGTTTGCGGAAGGAAAAATTTGAAAGTGTCGCCGTCTCGCTGCCCTCCCGCAGTTCAATCAACGTCTGCATCCTGGCGTGTGGTCACCTTTACACGAACGGATATGGAGTGCATCGAAGGGAACATTGACCTTCATGCCCTGTACCTGCTTGCGCCACGATGTGGCACAGCACAGCAGCAGTTGCTGAAAATCTGACACACACAAAGGAAGCGGTTCTTCTCACGACTGAGATTTATCTGGGCTCCTTTGCTCATGCTTACCCTTGCCTGTCTCAGCTGGGAGTGGCTACGGTCGATGTAAACTCTTAGCGTGACTGCTGCTGTAGGTTCTAAACGACGCGGCTGGGTGCTTTCCAAAGAGAGGCGAACCAGAGATGAGAGGAACGAACGGGCCGTCGGTCCTCGTTGTTTGTCGTTGATGTCACCAGGGCTTGAAGTGACCTGCTGCCTGGCTCTTGTGGGTTGTTGGAGGCCGAAGCCAGCTGAAAAACAGAGAAACGGGCCGCAAGCAGTGCACGTACGTACGTATTTCCACGCCCTCGATATGCAATCCTTGCTCGTGGCGGTACCTCCCTACAGTATACCGTCATGGAACGCAGAGCGTGGAATTCGGCGTGGGCGTCTGCCCGATTTCGACTCCGACCGGTGGAACGGGTGGAGAGAGAAGAAGAGAGGACGTGCCTAAAGCTGTACAACACACTGA